GGGGCGGCTTGTATTGTTTTTTGTTCCATTTTGTGTGTTTTCTCATGTTCGCTTTTTTTCTCTCTTCATGTTATGTTGTGCTTTTATTACAATTTATTTTTTTCTTTCCCCCGTTTACCCATTTCCCCTCACGCCGTGCCACCTGGTCGGGATGCCATTATTAGTGTTTGTATTATTTTTATTATTATTTGTTATTATCAAAATAAGTTGTTTAACTAGAAGTAACAGCCGGAGTGCAAGTACTCTAGCAGTTGTCAGCAGAGCGAGGAGCGACAGCTGAAATGGCTGTAGACACGCTAGCAATGATTTCAGAAGTTGGCGATATCAGTATAACTGTCTAGATTCACTACCAGTTTCCTCGCAGTTCGTACTTTGGCATCTCTGCACGTTAGCCTTTTATTTGAAGTTGATGATATTAGCTAACATTATAACGCTATGTTATTTTAAGTATTTTTTAAGGGTTTACCATCTTCATTTGTCGTGTCTTCGGCAGGTCACTTCCATCAGGCAAGACTTCAACGACCTGCTAGAGGCTCTTCCGGAGGGCACGATGGCCGGGGCCCCAGCGGCGGCCGCCCCCGGGGGAGAGCGCACCCCGGAGTCGAAGGTGAGTTACTGTGTGTGTGTGTATGTATGTATGCATGTATGTATGTATGTATGTATGTATGCATGTATATATGTATACATGTATGTGTGTTCAGGAGAGAGAGAGAGAGAGAGAGAGAGAGAGAGAGAGAGAGAGAGAGAGAGAGAGAGAGAGAGAGAGAGAGAGAGAGAGAGAGAGCGAGCTTGCTTGCGTGCGTGTACATGTTCGTGTGCTTGTTCGCGGTCCTGTTCTCGCGAAAGAATGCATGTGAAAGTTCGGTTCTTCTGAGACGTTTTGTGACAGGCGATGACTTGGCTCGGCGTCGCGCTGCTCCCTTATCTCCCCCTGCCGCCCTGTTCCTCGCCTGTCCTCCTCTCGGGTGTCCTCCCAGGCCGCCTCCGCGCTGGCCGTGGCTTGCGTCTGGCCGAGGGCAGTGCACGGGAGGAAGGCAGGCGGACAATGTACTATAAGCGAGAGGGTGGTAACACTGATTTCATAACGCGGTAGTGTGCGAAGCGGTTGGCAACACTAGATCCTCCAGCAGTGGGGAAATTGCCGTGTTTGTGGTGTGTTTGTGCTTGCCTGCTGAGTGTCATGCCTGCTGATTGCCATGTCTGCTCTCCTGCGGCTGCTCTCTACCACCCGCCATCACAGGCGCTTCTTGAGGGAGTTTCTGGCGTCTAATGTGCCTGGGTTGGAGAGGGAGAGGGGGGAGGGAGGGAGAGGGAGAGGGGGAGGGAGAGGGAAAAAGGGAGGGAGGGCTAATGGAAGGGAGAGGAAGGGGAAGGAGAAAGAGAGGGAGAAAGAGAAGGAGAGGGAGAAGGGGAGGGAGGGAGAGAGAAGGAGGGGGAAAGGGAGAAGGAGAGGGAGAAAGGGAGGGAGAGGGAGAAGGAGAGAGAGAGGGAGAAGGAGAAGGAGAGGGAGAGGGAGAGGGAGAGGGAGAGGCAGAAAGGGAGGGAGGGAGAAAGGGAAGGAGAGGGAGAGGGAGAAGGAGAGGCAGAAAGGGAGGGAGGGAGAAAGGGAAGGAGAGGAAGAGGGAGAGGGAGGGGAGAAATAGAGGAAGAGAGAGGGGGAGGGGAGGGGGAGGGGAAGGGGAAGGGGAAGGGGAAGGGGAAGGGGAAGAATTAACATTGATTAAGGTATAGATGCATTTATGATTATTTTATATGCCAAACGGCAGCAAGTGACATTAATGATGAAAATTGAAAGCTGAGAAAACGGGAAGGAAGATCCCCCCCCCCCCCCCCCCCAGCCGCTCCCTCACTCTCCCCTTTCTTGCTCTCTTTTCCGACCCGTTTTCCTTTCCCCCGGAGCATTCGCCTCCGCTCGCCTCCCTGCTTCTCCGTTTTCTCTTCTTCCTTTTCTTCCGCGGCCCTTCATTTCGGAGTGTGCGTGGGGGCTGAGGCGGAAGGAGAGGCGGAGGCGAGAAGGGAAAGAGAGGACGATCGCCTCGCCTGCGATTCACATGCATGCTGGATGTGTTTTCTCTTTTGAGTTGAAGGTCATTAAGGCAGCTGGAACACACCTGCCCTTGTGCCCGCACGCGGACGCGCGCGCGCACACACACACACACACACACACACACACACACACACACACACACACATACATACATACATACATACATACATACACACACACACACACACACACACACACACACACACACACACACACACACACACACACACACACACACACATACACATACACACACACATACCGCCCACATACACATACACATACACACACACACACACACACACACACACACACATACACACACACATACACACACCTACACAGGCACACGCATCTTCAGCGGCAGCATCATCATTGCATGTGAATGAATTGCAGGCCCCCCACCCTCCATCTCCTCCTCACCGCCTCTGCCCCCCGTAGGACTGCCCCCTCCCCTCCCCATCTCACCCTCACGGCCTTTCGCCCAGCGCGCCCACAGCGCCGCCCGTGCCTCACCTGCCGCCAAAAAATGAGGCACCGCCAGAGGCGACCCGCGGAGGCCACCCGGTTCTAGGCGCTGTGGGGGGCGGATGTGAGGAGGTAGGAAAAGGGGAAGGTTGCAATATTCTCTCTCTCTCTCTCTCTCTCTCTCTCTCTCTCTCTCTCTCTCTCTCTCTCTCTCTCTCTCTCTCTCTTTCTCTTTCTCTTTCTCTCTTTCTCTTTCTCTCTTTCTCTTTCTCTCTTTCTCTTTCTCTCTTTCTTTCGTTCTAACTCCCTTCCTGTATCCCTCCCTCCTTTATATAATAAAACACAGTAACGTGTAAAGGTAAAAAGGGAACAGCCACAGTAAGAGATTAGATTAATCGTAACGCTTCGCTTTGGCATTCATCAGACGGGCAAAAAACGGAAATGGACGCACAAAGAACATTTTGACACTACCATTTTCTTCCACATAAATCTTGTCAAAATTTTCCATCTCGGTAATTTGTTCGTCTAAGAGGAACTCTTGAGTTTAAACGTTAAGATTATATTCCATTTCTTATTGTGGCAATGTTTCCGTTTTAGAACACAGTGGGTTCTGGGTGTGTTTACGATGATTTGCATAATTTAAACTCACCCGCCAAGGTCCTATGTCTCTCTTTCATCGCTATGTCTTCCCAGAAGGAGTCAGCTTCCCTCATAGCCGCATTTCCTCCCCAGGTGTCGAGCGCGCCCCAGGAGAGCGAAGGGGGCGCCGCCCCGCAGGTGACGAGGGCCGCCCACGACCGTCAGGCGCAACGCTTGGCCGCCCTCGAGCGCCGGGCTGATGACTTCGACTTCGCTCTCACGCGAGCACAAAAGCAGGTCAGTGGCTACCGAGGTCATGAGGTCAGAGCCAGACATTTTCCGTGTGATTTCTTTGTTGATAAGAGGTACTTTGTCCTTTGTGATTCATGTTGGCTTTCCTCCGCAGTGGTCTGCCGCGAGCCCTTCGACGCGCTGCGAGGACCAGCTGGCGGAACTTACTGAGACGGAACGTCAGCTGCAGACGCGCGTGGAGGCTGTCACGAGCGGCGTCGGCGAGGTCAGGCTCTCCTCCGTGCAGCTCCTGGCGGCGCTCGAAGCCTTAGAGGGCCGACTCGAGAAGGAGGTATCCGAGGTGAAGCAGGAGGTGGCCAAGTTGGAGGTCAGCGGCGCTCAGTGGGCGGCCGACCACAAGGGCAACCTGGACGAGGCTCGCGTGGCCCTCGACGATGCCGCCGCCCTCAGGACCGACCTAGAGGCCGTCTCGCGACGCCTTGACCGCCTGACGCTCAAGACTGCCGGCCTCGAGAGCGGCAAATTGGAGGGCCAAGTCTCGAGAGCCGAGTGCCGAACGAAGCACCTCGCCCTTGAGCTGAGAGTGAGCGATGCCGTGGAGCGCCTAAGAGCAGTGGAGGAGCACGTTCACCACCGACCTTCGAGGTCTGCTGAGGGTCAGCCGGACGACGCCAGCTAGTCTCGTTCGCACACGTCGCCCGGAAAAGACACGTGGGCTCGGCCGCGCCACGTAGCGCTGAGGCCCAGAGCTCCACCCCCGCAGTCTGTCCCTCCGAGAATCAAAGCCGCCGCGCAGGAAGGCCGGCGAGGGGAAGGCTCGCAGGCCGCCAGCCGCCCGGACTGTTCCGGGGCCGCGCTTTCGGGCCGCCCCTCGCGCCTCCCCCGCGCCCCTCCCTCTCTCAGATCTAGTCTACGCCTTGATTATTCCGCCCCAGGATGCCCCCCCCCCCCCCTCGCTCTAATGTAGTGCCTAAGAAAACGTTTTGGTCATCATTTCCTAGTCAGAGGAGAAAAAAGATATATAGAAATCTAAATTTTAGAGATTTAAATTTAATATCTTTCTAATATAAATGAACTTTTCTCAAAGATCGTTATTTCAAAATGTTGACATTGCATTATTATCATTATTATTATTATTATTATTATTATTATTATTATTCTATTTTTTGCTATTATATGTGACAGTTATTAAAAGTAATGATAATGATAATATTCTTCTTGTTCTTCTTATCATTATAATCATATTTTTTGTATTGTTATTATTATCATTATTTGATGATTATGAGGAGGAGCATAATAAATTTAATGATTATTATTATCATGATACAATGCATTATACTATGGATATTGGAAATAATGATAAGAATAGTAATGGTTATTTATGACGTTGGTTGATATAATGCTGATAGTGGTTATGATGATTATAAAAGTAATGATAATAAGAATAACAGTGTGAACAGCAAACACAATATAACAGAGATGCTCATAAGATGGAATAATGCTTTTCATAACATTAGTGTGATATCTTGTGTTTAATTTCTTCACTGTGTATGGATAGTTTAGATTCCTCTCGCCATGTTTGATCTTGAAACAACGATTCTTCTGAAAGTGTCAAAGGTTCATGTGAACGTTTATGCTAGGATTAAGAAACCCG